ACCTTAAGCCTTAACGTGAACTTAAGCCGATGAGCCAATCAGGATACTGCTTTAGATCTACGTAATCTGACGGAAATAGAAATAGCAGTAAACTTATCCATAAGGCGAGTTTCAACCGGATGAAATTCGCTTTATGCGAGGTTATTTTGCGAGGTTATGGCTAAGTTTACTATTATTTCCATTTCCGTTAGATTACATAGATCTAAAGCAATATCCTGATTGGCTCATCGGCTTAAGTTTACATCTTATGGTCACTGTTACCCCGGATCTACAATAGGGTTTTAAGCCTTAAGCCATAAGAAATGGACGAATCATAGTTGATTATTCTCCTCGAATTCGATTGTAATTGGTCAATTTCTTACGGCTTAAAGCTTAAAACACCTATTGTAGATCCGGACTTACGGAATTTTGTGTGCGGTAGCTCTTAGTCCGGATCTACAATAGGTGTTTTAAGACTTAAGCCGCAAGAATTGACCAATTACAGTCGAATCCGAGGAAAATAATCGACTGTGATTCGCCCATTTCTTATGGCTTAAGACTTAAAACTCTATTGTAGATTCGGGGTAAAGCTGGTTCTACATTATGCTGGATTCACACTGCATCCGATTTTCGTCATACTACGCTCTGCATCCAATCAGAAAACAGGATTCCGATAATACGAAGCAAAATTCATCGGAATCCTGTTTTCTGATTGGTTGCAGAGCGTCGTTTCGTACGATGAAAATCGGATGCAGTGTGAATCCAGCATTAGTCGCAACGCAGCGTCGCAAGCGTTGCGGTCCAATCAACGACCATGATGGAAGTAACAAGGTGTGTTATTGCGCATATATTCTTCACTGGCCAATGAGAGAACGACACTGAACTCAGCCATCTTGAGCAATTCAAATGCATATAATAAGGGAAGATTCATGCAAAGAAAGTGGAATAATAACTACAGTGAATAAATGTTACACAAAAAAAAGATATATTTTTTTAATTTCAACAAGAACAAAGAACATAAAATAATTAATCAATAAAATACATACATTTAGTAAACAATAAAAAGAAATTTACATTTAAAATGTAGTAACTTTACGGTTTGTAAATTTCGAAATTTTTTTATTCTTTGGTTTTCTGCAGAAATTTATTTATTGATGATTCTAATACGTATGTAAGTACGTGTACGTACTAAACATAACAATACCTCTCGCGGAATCTCTATATTTTGTATTTTTTCCTGAGTTTTATCGGCTACTGTTTTGAAGATCCATGGATCTTTTCGAATAAAAGTTCCATGAAATATCTGAAACTCGATATTCATTGCTTTCGCAACTTCAAATGGAAAGGACAATTAATCGTTCTCTAGAAATGTTAATCCAGTCATTTTCTGGATTAACTAACATTTCAGTAGGCGTTCCTAAATCTTTATATTTATGCATAAATCTGTATGCTACGTAACCGGCAATGTATTTCAGCCCTTCTTCTTCTATGACATCAATGACATCCAATGTATCAACTTCGTGCAATAATGCCTGTTCTTCTAAGGAAGGAATATAATTTAAAGTATAGATGGCTGTAGAAGAAAGATGAAACAGTATATATTAAAATAAAATATCTCAAAAACCTTTTTGGTGTCTTTTTCTTAGATTTTTGTATTTTTTTACATTTTTTATTCATACATTTTTATTCATACATTTTTAAAAATAATTTACATTTTTAATGCTAATAATAATAACTATAATACCAAAATGTTTCATATACAATTATATATAATTATATAAAATTGTATATACATAAAATTGATATATTTTATATACAATTACACAGTTATATATAAAATATGTCGATATATATATAACATTTTTTCCCGGGTATATATATGTAATAAAAGCATGATCATTATTAAGAGAAAGAAACAACCTTACCCAATATCTACATCTACTTCATAATCATCAAGCAACTTGTTTTGAAAATCAGTGACATTGAGAATTTCATATTCGACATCATCTTCAGTGAGAGGCTCTTCCATCGAGTCGACGTCAATACCACTGGTGAGAGAAGTTTCATCCATTGTGGAATTGTGTGCAACAGTATTGCTTCCTTCAGTAAAAACATCCGCAGAATGCTTCCCTAATATATACCAGCGAAGTCTGTAGAGAATGCCTAATGCTGTTGACTTATCATTTGCGGCTCCCATTGCTCGTATATAGGAAAACAGATTTTCCACAACATCTTGATTCAATCGGCTTGTTGTTATATATGATATTTCTGAATTGTTTGTATTGAACCTTTCTCGTAAATCAGAGTAAAGATGCTGTAACGATGAATTGCAGAGAAGAATTTCTTTTTGAAAAGGAAGCATACTTTACTGATTACCAACTTTCATTTTTTTAACTGTTGATGTAATTTCGGTAAGAATCTTGTTCTGTTGCAAAATATTAACGCCATAACCATTTTGTCCAGGATGATGTCCAAATTTGCAGGTACTATTGAAAACATTTTAAGATGTCTTCATCAATGTTGAAATCCGCTATCCATTTTCGAAGGGTTGACATTGCAGGTAAAGGAAATTGTTTTGTTTTCCTCAGATACCTATAAGCTTTTGGGCTTATGCTTTTTAACGAAATTGCAGCCGCAATATCCTCCTTAGTCCAATGGGTCTTCTTCTGCTTCGGATTTAAAAGTATTTTTATTTGTCCTGGTGTGAAAAACGGAGATAACTTTTGTCTTGCATTTCCTGTGTCAACTGCTCTTTGTGCAGTTTATCTTTCAAAGCCAATCGACGTTTAAGGGCTTTCATTTCCAGACGTAAGATTTTCGTTTTCAGAAGTAAGATTGCATTTCTGCGTTGTAATTTTTGCATTTCCTGAGAAATATCTGCCTCAGCATGAAAGAAGAAATATATTATTATAAAAAATAAAAAATTAAAGTTAATAAAAAATTGAAGTATTAATTACATTTGTTGTAAAAGCAAATTAAGAAACAGGTGAAATACAGTGACAGAACGTACCAAAATTAGGAACCACTGCAGTGTTCAGTGCAATTTGAGTTGCACAGCTCGATGCAGAGGTCGACGCAGCACAATCCGTATCTAGATTAAACGAGCAATGGGCAACAGGTTGTACAACATCTGCTTCTGAAAATATATTTAATACATAAAAGAAGGCAAAGTACAAGACAATTACTGTTGGTATATATTATAAAAATTATCGCTTGAAATGCTTAATGTTATATAATAATCACTTTAAATGTTATATAATAATCACTTTAAATGTTAAAAATGGACTATATGTATACCCAAATCGTTATCCATGGAAATTTGGTTGTTTTCTATGGCTGCCAGTGGAACTACATCACGTTTGAGTCTTACTCGTATATTCCCAGATTCTCCAATTAAATTTTTTAACCACGATTGATCTTCAAATTGTGAATGATGAAAATGTTCCGAACAGACACGAGCTAGACAAATCAATAATACACTTAATAAATCAATTTCAATTACATTTTATTAATTACAATATCGTGTGTTAACTACAAATAATCATACCAACGAATGTACATACCGGTTTTAGGATTAACATTTTCTTTGCACACAAGTTTCCATTTTTCGATTATTTCTGTTTTCTTCGGAAATGTAAACAAACTGATTTTTTTGTTTTTTGTATTTCGCAAATTGTTTTTACAATTTTCTATTGCACACGACGGCATCGTAATGATCAAAATGAATCTAATCTGTATCACTGACAACACTATACCCATCAGCTGTGATTGCAAGATGGCGGTTCTCAGGACACTGCGCAGAACGTAACGAAAATGCGTCCTAAGTAGGAACACACCTTGTTACTTCCACCATGTCAATGACAAGCTAGCTCGACTCTGATTGGACCGCAACACTTGCGACGATGCGATACGACTAATGTAGAACCAGCTTATAAGGTGTGTTACCAGAGACTAGAGAGAAACCTGAGAAAGGCCTTTTTCCTGTAACTTGTTATACCGTCGAAATTGCCTGTACATTACCGCCAGTACCTTCATTTTCAGTTTGGGAACTACGTGACATACGTGACTACATACATTTTCTGACACTATCGATAAAATCGTATCATAACATTTTTCTTATAAAATAATACAAGTTGATAAAGACTTTTTATCGCCGTTGAGTGATGAGATAGTTTGCTATCATTCGCTTTTTCACAGATAATAGTTGCAGTTTCTTGTATTATATATTTTGCACTTGCAGTTAAAAACGAAATGTTGCCGCCATATTTGTCTCTGATTGGAAGATCTCTATTCTCTAGCGTAGTCGGTACGTCGATAGTAGCAGTCTCAGCATTTAGCTAGATTCGTTCGCGCATTGCGTCATCTCGTCATCTCTCGCTTGACGACCTATCCGAATGAAGGCGTCTGAAGACGTTGCGTCGATGCCGACATTCGACAATCAGCGGATCAGCCGACGATTGCCGAAGAGCACATGGCAGTTCTGTTTCTGGTTTCTGTGTACTGACTAGTCATCAGTCAGCCAGGTCAGCCAGTCACTATTGGTCAATATCCGTGCCGTGCAGCATCGTGCAGTGCCGTCAGCCGTGGTTACTGCTGGAGCTGGACGGTCAGACGGTGGCGTATGGTGGCGTATGGTGGCGTACTGCGTAGTGGTTGTGATTACTCTACGTCGCTACGTCGGATCGCATTGGATGAAGATTAAGAGCAAGGTGGTTTAACGGGGATTTAACGAGAGGTACGAGCGTCTAGTAGGTAAAAGACGCGCGAAAGAGGGCCACGTGGACGAGCCTCTCGCATCGCGATAATGAATCTCACGTGTCTCGTGCGTGTTGATACATTAGTTGGTCTGATTACGTACTCCGTCAACCGTTTTCCTACCGGAATTCATACTAGCTCCGCTCCATTTTGCGCTCTCACTCCCTCGTACGCATTCATATACGTACATGTATGTTTATAGTCGCGCGCGCGCG